GAGAGAGAGAGAGAGAGAGAGAGAGAGAGAGAGAGTTCTTGAAAATAGCTGATTCAACTGTGGGTTCTACACAATGATGGTATGAGTTGTCTGGTGGTTTATCTTTGCAGTCATGATGGCTTGAATAGGTACAGGTTTGTTTTCCTTTAGATGAATTTGAATCATTTGCTACTAAAAAAAATGATAAAAAATAGGAGAAAATTCTTTTGTATTGTAATAGCTGGTTTTTCCTTTATTAAAAAGAACTTTCTAAAACATAAAATTAACTATTGTGTTGTGATTAACACATTAACTCCATTGTGCAACTAATACCTTTGCCTAATTCCAAATGATTGTTATTATTTCAAAAAAACATTAAGCATTTCTCCCAAGTTTTATTTTGGTTATCATTGTGCTTTCAACTTTATTCACATGCTAAGCTATATACATACTTTATTCGTTTTTATTATTGATAAATATGTCATGTATATACACTATATTTAGTTTTACCATTTATTTAATAATGTTTTTTTGGGATCTTTATAACTTTTGCTTTTAAGAATAGTGCTGCTAAGAACATTCATGTACAGAACTTTTACAATTACTCTTTATGTATTATCTGGCTACAATTAGATACTGCCCTCTCTTACCATCCTATCTCTTATAATCTATATAAAGTTATTTTCTTATGTGAGTGATTTATCAAGTTAAGTTTTCTGTGGAAGTATGGTCCTGGAGTGTTCTTTACTCACATCTTTGACACTGAAATAAAAAAAAATTGAATTACAATATGTTTAGCTTTCAGTCTGGGTAGTTATGTAAAAGCAGGTGAAAACTTAGGCATCTTATCATATTCGTAACCACCCCCATAAAGACTATTTGGCCTGGATCATCAATACCTTCAGATTATAAACCTACGTATAAAACAAAAATTAGTATTAGTATTAATATACAAATGAATAAAGGTGTTCTGAATAAAAAAGAATTATAACATGGTGAATGCATAACATAACACGTTTTCATGAATATTTTTCACAAATTGATTGATTATCTGGCCCAACAGGTTTCAGATATAATAGTAAATATAAAAATCTGAATACACTTTAGCTATATTTGAAGGGACAACGTAAGTTACCTCCTCATATATTTCCTGTCAAGTATTTAATGGTGTCAGTAAAAAATAAAGTTTATAATACATTGAAAAGTTATGAAAGAAAAATTTAAATGAAACTTAACATTTTGGGAAATTTATATTTTAAAGTAATTTATATTTTTAATAAAATAGAAAAACAAATAATATAAGTTAATAATTTCTCTCAGGACTCTATCCCTCTGCACACTCTTCTTAATAACTGATCTTCCCTCTTGTACAATTATGTATTTTCTATCCCTATAAAGTTACTGTACATTCATCACTATGATTAATGAGTAAAGATGATCATTCAAGTACTCTAGAGCTTTGGGAAAGTAATGCAAAGTAGAACCATCTCATGGGACTGCAGTACAAATAATTGCTCCAAAATTTTTGTCTCTGGTGATTCTTTAGTGTTATTCTCTGTTTTTTTTGATCCCCAAGGACTTGAGGAATTATAGTTGTGGCATGATTCTGTACCAGCATTTATTAATTTGTGTGTGTGTAGTCTTTTGTCTGTTATACCTGGAAAAATGTATCATATGATATAGTCCTACACATGTACTCTGGGCTTCACTGGCTCAGAGGTATTTCTTTTAGCTTTTACAATCATCAGGAATAGTTTTGGAATTCGCTAAATTTAGAAAAGACTTCTTCAATAAATGTCTCAATAAATGTCTCCCTTAGCTGCTTCTATATTTAGGTGAGTTGACTCAATTCTTCTAATATTTCATATTAATAGAGATATATTGATTTTGGGTCAATTTTTGGCAGAAAAAGAGACATGGACTCCTAAGGAGCCTCATCATCCAATTAATTTCAAAAAAAGAACCCAAGGTGCTATCTTCCTGACTCCAGTCTAGTTTTCTTCATGAATCATAGATAGCCTGGTTAATGATGTATAGGAAAATTAAGAGATTTGTCCATCTCAGTCTGAACTTATTATACTAGCATATGCAATTTCATACATTTTCATGGCTGAAAATTACTTGATGGCACATATATATTTATACCACATTTAAATTATTTATTTATTAGTTGATGGCTGATTCCATATTTTGGGTTAGTGTTGCTATACAATGAGAATGCAGATACCTTATGAATTCATTTAATATTTATTTTAAATTATATTCTTAGATATGATTATGGAGTATTATGATCATTGTTATCATTATTCAGATGACAGATATGTATGTGCTTGGGACTTGTAGAGCAGAAGAATAGGCAGTATTTCTCTTTTCTCTTTTCCATGCTGATTTCCATAGAGGCAAGGCGGATTTAGATTACCGCCAACAGTATATAGGTCTTTTTTCCCTTGCATCCTTGCTGTAGTTTCTTTTTATTGTTATTTAGATGTTTTTTTGTCCTGATAAGGAAGAAATGAGATCTCATTGATGCTTTGATTGGCATTTTCTATGAGGCTAAAAATGCTGACTATTTCTTTGAATTTTTAAAACCAAACTAACTCCTCAGATTCAAGTACATAGAATCCTGCATCTTTTTTGACATCATGCTGTTTTATGTAGAAATGAATTATAATAGTTTCTACTTCCATCCTAGTGATTTGAATTTAATACTGCTAAGATTCTCATTTCTTCATTAAGATTCTCAATATTATTAAGATTCTCATTAATAGCATTAAGATTCTCAAGGTATCCATGTGTGTTATGGTTTCTTGTTTGAGATGTTTTTCTCCATCATTTATCTTTGCCAAAATTTAAACTCCATCCAGAATAGCAGAACACATTTTTTTTTGCAATGGCTTACAATTCGTTTGCATTTCTAGTATATTTACAGGTATGTATCTTCTGAGAATTGCCATATTGCAAAGGAATGTAATTTGCTGTATCTATTTTACACTGTAAGAACAGTATAATGCTTTCATGGCATTTTAATGAGTAATAAAAATTTTCACCTAGAGCAGCACTTTGAGCTGTGTTTAGTGACCCATGCATACAATTCATCACTATTTCTTAGGTTCATAACAAGAAAAAAATTGCTTGAGATCAGTATAAGCACAAAAGAGTTTTTGAGATTCCATCCCAAACATGTAGTAGCATGTGCCTGTTATGAGAACTATGAAGGAAACATTCATAGGAGAATCAGGGTCAGAGGGAGCCCAACAAAAAGCAAACTCTAAATAAAGACCAACATTGCTGCCATTTACATGAGTCCCAGATGTAAATGAAGGACTGTTTTCCCAACAATTCTACATTTTCTACTGAGCCACCAGGGGAAGTTGTGTCCATCTGATGAGAACAGAAATAGTTTAGTGGAAGGTCCATTATGAGTTCATCAACCAGGTCAGTACAAGCCCTTATGTCAAAAAATGAACTTTACAACTTTGGTCGGGGGTGGGGGAGTGGCGATCTGGTAGGAGGGGACAGGGGGGGAGTATGGGAAGGGATGGGAAGGGGAAACAAAGAGGAGGCAACAATGCTTGATAAGAAATGTACTCATTATCTTGCCCATGTAATTGTAACTTCTCTGTATGGTATTTTCACAATAAAAGAAAAGAATAAAAATTGAGTGTAAAAACTATTAAAAAAAAAGAATTCTGGAAGGGACATCACCTACAGAGCCAGAATTGTTCCCTGATATCAGCCACATGTGGTTACGCTATGTCTTCTTTCAGGTATCGACGAAGTGTTAAAGGCTGTCCTGAGGGTAGTCCAGCCAGCTATTCGGCTAATGGTTTTTCACTGATGACATTCAGGCTAACTGGAAAAAGCATATAAGCTGTCAGGGAATAAAATCATCATAAGTAGGCTCCAAAGGCTCATGCCTGTAATTCTAGCTACTCAGGAGTCTGAGATCTGAGGATCACTGTTCAAAGTCAGCCCCGGCAGGAAAGTTCATGAGCCTCTTATCTCCAATTAACCACCAGAAAACCCGAAGTGATTCTGTGGCTCAAGTAGTGGAGTGCTAACTTTGAGCTAAAGAGCTGAGAGACAGCTCCCAGGCCCCAAGTTCAAACCCCATGACCGACAAAAACATACAAACAACCCCCCCAAATTATCCTCAATAGCTAAGTTTATTTATATAAATAAATGAGTAAATACATACAAGCTTACATACATACATATGTATTTGTGAGATAGTACAATAAAGAGCAATATTAACTGTAAAAGAATAAATGAACAAGGAAACAGTGCTTCAACAGTGCTGCCCTTCTGCTCAGGGAACTAGAGAGCATAGGTCTTGTAGCATCATCATTATTTGAGATATAATGTGTTACATTCTGATCTTTTGTTCTTCTCCTTTTGGCTTTGTTGTCAATGGCTTAAATGACAGAGTTGTCATTCATTTTGCAAAAGCTATCAAAGCCAATGTCAACCACTGACTAATGTAGCCACAAGAAATGTATGTGTTCTGCATGATTCTTTTTTTTTCTATTGTGAAAATACTGTACAGAAGGGTTACAATTACATGGGCAAGATAATGAGTACAT